TATATCTAACTTCCCTTAATTCACTGCGAGTTTTTCTTTTCCCTTTCCATCATCAGGAAGTTTGTAGAAACTTTAGTGCTACACTAAATTGTTCAGATGGTGACCTGTGCCTCTAGTCATCTCTGGTTTCACTGCCAGCATCATGGTGCTGAGTGACATTTTATCTTTTGTCATAAATTTGCACTAGTTGTTTAACCAGACCTATCCTGTGCTGTGAGCTTGGGTCTCTCTTGTTTGTTCAATAAGCTGGTTGCTGTGACAGTTGTGTTGATTTGGAAGACTGGGGGGGGGTTAACTTTTTTATATTATTTTTTGAGATTGCGAGTAAGGATACTGCTGTTTCAGATAGGGAGAAATGCAGAGCGAGGTGCAGAAATGGTAAATGTCTAGAGTGCGTTATAGCAGAAGCAGCCTGCTTAGCAGGGTTGGCAGAGTGTTATATGAGTGATGGAAGGAACAGCACATTAATTTTTCGTACCTTGGTAAAGAATTCCTGGGCATCTACTGGGATGTGCTGTGGAAAAGATTGCTTTAAGACTTGGTGAAAACATGATGCTGAAATACAGTGAAGATATTTAAAACTTTATAAAAATATGTGAAGAAACTTCAAAGGTGAAAAACATAAGGGAAAGCATGGAAGGACAGGTAAACAGACAGAAAGAATGAAGGAACGAAGGGAAGAAGGAAAAAAGGAAAGAATGAAGGGAAGAAAGAAACCCCCAGCCATCTGGTAGTATGCTTCCCTATGTTTGGACGTTTGGATTGAAATGAAAAAGAGATCACTGAGAAGATTTTATAGATTTATGTGAAAGAGTAAAAACGAAACAAGAAATATTAATGCAATTATAATAGCTGTACTGCAAAGATGAAACATTGATCATGAAGAATTTCACATAACCTGGTATTGACTGGTCAGTGGAATATAGAAGGGAAATAATTGTTCTTGAGCAGGTTTGACTTACAATAGTGACAGCAATTGAAGACTGCATTCAGAAGGAGAAGTTGAAGAAGCTAGGCTTATTCACAGGAACAAAAGAAAATTGTGGTGACCTAATTCCAGCTGTTGTTGTGCAGAATATACCAGTATTGATAGCAGGACAAATTACTCTCACTGTCAGACTTGAAAGCAAGATTCACATGATGCTGCTCTGCTGCACTACTCTTTCTTTCAAATACATCTTAAATATGCAGGGGACAGGTGATGTATTGGTCCAGAGACCATTATGGCTCATCATTTTCTGAGAAATTGCTGTGACTCTTCTTGGGACTCTTCTTCAAAAGGTGCCATGCCTTTTGCGCTAACATGTGATAAGACCATTCCTTGGAATACAGTGTTTTCCCTTTTTTCTGCCTGTATCATCTCACAGGGACCTGTGTGCACCATGAAACTGGTACTTCATATGATGTATTCCTGCACTAAATTCTGTGTTTGGGCTTTTTCGATCACTAATTGAGGGTGAAGCCCTCAAAGTTTCCCACGTTTTTAAGAATGCTTGGCATTTTATCAGACTTGATCTGGAAGACAGTGACAAGCTCAAAGTGCATTATGCTTTTTAGTGCAGGATAGTCAGAGGCAAGGACTACTACCAGATTGACAGGTATTTGGTGCAGGAGCTAATGGTTACTTGTGTGATTATACTTTTTTTTCAGTAGTGCCTTCTTTTTTACATTTATGACATAATCCCATGTGGGACATGTGAAATATTAATCATTCTGTAAGAGGGTTTCTCTTGAAGTGCCTGTATGTATAAAGGATGGAAAACAACAGCGTAGACCTCCCTCCCTGCTTCTTTGATGTCTGAGGGCTTATTTGCAATGGAAATCCACCCCTGTCCTTGCAGTAGGACAAGTGCTTTCAGATGATGAGTTACCTGAAAAGGCTGGTTTTTATGTGAATGAACCAAGTAATAACTTTTCTCCGAATTCCTTTAAGTGAACGATGAATGTGGTGTTTCATTCATGGACACAGGCAAACTGGCTCCCTTCACCACTCCCTGCTGCATAATCTATCTTTTATCTCTGTTCACAGACCCTTGGGAACATTTTGCATGCTTTCAGGTGCTCTCCAGTTATTACTTGTTTGCTAGCAGTGCTTTGTGGTTTAGATAGAAATGCAAGCTGACCACTCCTTTTTAGTGTCTGTTTTCATATACATCTCAGTGTTGACTTTCTCCCCATGCCATTGCCCATTGCTTTATCAATAAAAGCATGACTTTTATCAAGGTTTATACCAATGTCACCACCAGTTTTACAAAGAATTAAGTTGAATGTCCCATAGTTCTCCAAATGCCATTCCACTCTCACTGTCCCAAGAAGCCATCTGCCACCTACCCCAGTGCAGTCAGCAGTAAAATGAGAGAATGTGTGCCTTACTAACTAATTTCCCACATATTGACATCAGGTTATACTTTCCATAATTTTCTGCAATAAAATCTCCCATGTGGATAGAGTCAGAATTGTGCAGAATCAAAGACTTGTTTTGAAGTGTGCAACTTCAAGACCCTGCCATACCTTGGCTGAGGTTGCACTTGAGAATAATGCCTATCCTGAGCCAGGCCACTGTTTCAGTACAAAATAGGAGTGTGTGTGGTATTAAAATCTAAAGCAAAAGAGAAATGGAGTGAAGGTTACAGGAGGAGATGATTGTGCAGGGAAGAGAAGCTCCGTGAAGGAAAAAACATTTGTAGCTTATTTTTTCTCATCCTCCTTTCATCTCTAAGAAATACTGTAGTAAATTGCACTAAGGCTTTGTGAGTGCATTTAATTCTATCCTAAGAAAAATTAAAGAACATGAACTAGCAGGGCTGGGATCAGGAACTTGAGGAAAAGTAGAAATAGTGTGTTAGGAAGATGTTATTCCCTCACCATGCTCTTTATGGTAAAATATTTCACAGAATTTATCAAGTTGGAAGGCACCCATACACATCATCAAGTCTGCCTCCCTGCTCCTCAAAGCACTCCCTAAAACTAAACCATCTAAAAGCGTTGTCTAGATGCTCCTTGAACGCTGGCAGGCTTGGTGCCATGACTTCCATCGGTAGCCTGTTCCAGTGACCTACCACCCTCTCAGTGAAAAAACTTTTTCTGCTGTTCAGTCTGAACTTCCTCTTACACAGCTTCATTCCATTTCCTTGTGTCCTGTCTCTAGTCAACAGAGAGAGATCATCTGCACCTACCCCTCTGCTGCCCCCCTTGAGGAAGCTGTAGGCTGCAATGAGGTCACCCCTTGGCCTTCTCTTCTCCAAACTGAACAAAACAGGTGACCTCACCTCTTCTCCTGAGTCTTGCTTTCGAGGCCTTTCACCATCTTGGTCACCCTCCTCTGGACACACTCTAATAGTTTGAGGTCCTTATATTGAGGCACCCAAAACTTCACACAGTACTCAGTATGAAGGACGAGAAAGGTAGTCTCCTTTACTAAGGGAAGGCAGAATGGATAGTGAGCACACCCCCCACACCCCCCCCCCAGCTGTCAAGGACTGTGTCATACGCAGGCTCATCAAGCTGTAAAGTATGGCTACATTTTAAGTGTTAAAAACTAGCATCTAAATATGTCCTAACACAGTTAATGGAGAGTTGTAACTGGAAAGCATGTGTAATACACATGGATGTACTAGTTTATGGGTAGAAAGGCATGTTGTTCTCATCATTTGTTAACCTTTTTAGTTACAAATCATTTGTAAAGTATTAGCATTTATTTTCACAGAACCATAGAATCAACGAGGTTGGAAAAGACCTTTAAGATCATCAAGTCCAACTGTTACCCCAGCGCTGCCAAGTCCACTACTAAACAATGTCACTGAGGGACCTGTCTACATGGGTTTTTTAATACTTCCAGGGATTTTTCAGAATGCAGTGTCCTGAGGCTATTGTGCTTTACTGGGGTAACCAGGTCTGCTAGACCCTTTTTACTTATTCTCCTGTGGTACAAATTATGCTGTTCTTTCTATGCTGCTGCTGTACTTCAGATACAGTCAACAGCAAATGTTGATTTCTTCTGTCAGGCATTGTATTTGTGTACCTCTCTTCCGTTCTTTGTTTCTCCCTCCATGCTACGTTATTTTCTGTAAATGCTATTTATTACAGACTGTGGTCAGCATTCTGCCAGATCCATCTCACTGCATTTAATTACACTCTGTTGAAGAGTAGCTGAACAGAAGTTGCGTTCTCACAGTGCCTTGCTATAGGTTTTTTTTTTTTGTCAGCATGAATGTTGAACTGTTGAATATCAGCTGAGTTTGAAATTTACCTGAATATGTTTTACTATTCCAAAGAGATTACACAATGGCCCTGATTAGCAGCAACATTTTGTAATACCACTTAAAGCTTTATCACAGTGGAGTACTGCCAGTAATAGTCTTTAATTCACTTATATGTACCAATTCATCTCTGTCAGGTTTCTATTAATTTCTTTGCTGTTTTACTTTGTCCCTATCCCCTATATAATAAGGTATGATTTCCACATTTATGTAGCCAAAAGAAAATAAAATAATTAAATCTGCAGCAAATTAATTGGGATCCTTTGATTTGAGACAACTGTGCCATCTCTCCATTTGCGTTCACATTTAATCCACTTTTCACAAGGTAATGTATTTAGGAGAATATGGGTGGGTCAAGTGACCAAGGGGCAGTAACAATTTTACTGGCTAATTTAGATAAAAAGTTTCAGGATTGGGTTAGGTATGTTAACTGCAAAGTGGAGGGTAAGTGTGGAATTAAAACTGTATGTGTTCATGCGCACGCACACTTGTGAAAAGCCACAGTATGTTCAGCAGTAACGTTTTTCATCAGAATGATAACTAACCTTGGTTACAAAGCTGATTGCCGGAGATAAACGACAAAATTGCTGCATGCACCATTTTGTTTTATCTGGCACCACTTTCACAGTGTACTGGAAGATCTAAACAGTTGGGGTTGGCGCTCCGAATTTGAATGATGAATCGGTGCCTGTGGTTACTGTTGAACCAACTGTATATTTGTGCTTTCTTTTTCATTGTTAGGATTGGTGCAAAGCATCAGGAGTTACGGCAAAAGCAATTGAGAGGTCTGAGGGATTATTCTATTGGTCCTGGAGGACCTGACATTGATGACGATGAGGTGGATCCAAATTATGCCAGAGTAAACCACTTCCGAGAGGTTTATCCAGCAGCAAGCTTCTACAGGCCATCATCACCAGCAGCAGCAGAAACCTTTATATATCCACGTGATTCTCCTTCAACACCAATGGAGAGGGAGCACTTGGAAGGACTGTATGCAAAAATAAACAAGCAGCACTACCCACAGACGCCTGGTGACAGGTAGTATTGCCATCTGGCACAACAAACAATGATCGCTTCGAGGGGGGAGAGCCTGAGGCTAGGCTGGGGAACTGTTCAGGTGCCCCAAACCCCTGTATTTACTGAACAGAAAGCCATGGATTTCCTCTTCACCAAAATCATGATTTGCTGCAGCAGTGCCCCCAAAGCATCTGAGCAAGGCAGCAGTCAAACAGAAATCATTAAAGAAAAGTCCATATTTCACAAACAGAATGAATGAACTGACTCCAGTCCAATTCCTGCACTGCTGAGAGAGTGTTTTTTCCCTCTTTCAATCAGGAAGAGTTCTTACCCTGCAGCAAAAATAATCTCTGTTTTCAGATCCTTTTCGATTCTGCTGATCATCAAGTGCCTATTAGTAACAGGTTTTATATGATAGCATGATATATTGCATATGTTTATGGTTCAGTTTTCCCCAGCTGTGTGATATTACGCACTTTCATTAGGTTGTGGAAAGGACTGGGAATCATGGCATTTTTATGCAGACTGTGAAGTGTGGCTTCACAAGACTGATCGCCTTTCACAGCCTTTCCAATAACCAAGTGGGAAGGAAAGAGCAATTTTTAATCCTTACTGTCAGGCTTCCAGGTTGATAGCATTAAAGAAAGATGGTCAAGTTTTTCCCTGTGTTAAAAGGAAAACAGAAATTCCTTTGAGTTGATGGTGTGCCCACCATTGTGATGATTTTAAAACTGATTATTTCTGGAATTTGGGGCTAAAAGAAGGTAAGACTTCATTACTGTCATGGCATTAAATATATCCCTGTTGGGTTTTTCAAACCAATCTATTGGTGTGTAGGAAAGATGCACAAGCCTGTGTGAAAAGAAGACCTGACAGAGTAAGCCATGAGGGACTTGAGGAATTGTTCACGCTTTGAGTTCATATTACAATCTGTAGTGTCTCCCCATAGCCTCAGCCTGTGCTATGTGATACCACACTTGTTAATTTTGGAGAAATATGTGAGCACAGATACAGGAGTGTTTTCAGTTTGTGGCATCACAGCACTTTAAAAACATCTACTGAGTCATTGTTATAAATAGCAATAAAACATAAATCTGACATAAATCTAAGTTTGTAGCAGAGAATGGGCCAAGTATCTATCTTTTTCACCTTAATACAGTATGGTAGAGATCTTCCCAAACATAATGATATTGCTGATGTTTTTCTTGCATATTTTTAACTCTTTCCCTAGTGTATGAGGGTGAAGAGGGTGAAATTGGAGGTAGCGATCACAGCTTTTTGCCATCTAACAGGTTTTGCTTTACTAGAAAATTCTTGAGGCTATTGTCACTGAAGTCACACAAATGTTTGCGTGTAATGAGGGGATCAGAAACAGAGTTCATGCTAACTTAGTATACTGAGATCTGAGAATTCCCAGCATGGGGGAAGTCTAAATTCAGGTTTATGTATTTTTCAAATATAAATATATACAGATGTAACTCAGTTGGAGGAAGACATTGTCGTAAAGGTTGCTTCATAATTTCAGTTGTAACAGGACTTCATAGCTTTACATTTTAAAAACACCATCAGTTTCAAAGTGCGGTCTATACATTGTTTTTGCTATGCAGCAAAAAGTCTTTCCCTCTGGCCTCTTTTATTTGATTGCTTGTATTGTGGTTGTAACTACACTGAATGAAATCTTGACCTGCTATGTGGACAAGATTGAAGTCCCAATCAGATTTGGATTTGGTGCTGGGATCATGGATTTCAGTGTGGATTTAGTTGTAATTACACAATAGCTCAATGAAAAGCTAAAACCAAAACATCTAACAGGCAAGAAAAGTTACCTCATATCTGAGTCAGTGATCAGAAGTCACGCTGAGAAGCTGTTCCGTCTGTGTTGATTCTGTACTGAAAGGCAAACAGTCCACAACAACTTTGCTTTGTTGAAATACTCAGGGTTGTAGAGGCTGTTTAACCAGATTAGGAAAAAATAGGAAATACAGGATTCTTACTAGGCTGCCTTTGGTTTTTTTTTAAATCTTTCTTTCCTTTGTCTGAGACAAAAAGTTTATTGTTATTCGCCAGCAGAAATGTGCCAAACATGAATAATTTTATGTGAATTTACGCAATGGGTCATGAGGTCTCAGCCAGCAGTTCTTGGATGTAATGGCAACTTCAGGCAAGGAAATGTTTCTGTGCTAGAGGGAGAGTATTGAAAGAAGAAAGAGATGTGGAAAGAAAAATCCCTGGATAACATGTTAATTACAAAACCAAATCTGCTTTCAAGGGTCAAGTATGAAAACTACCTTGTCTGCCTCAAAACGATGGGAAAGGGCTATAATGGATGCTTATTAGCCAAACCAGAGTTATTTTGTGTTTTCAGGGCTGAACATTTATCAACACATTTGTCATGTAATAGCTCATGCTTTGGTCTCGCTAACACATGCAAGCTCTCTCTCAAAGTTTTGTTATTAATTTTACCTTAGATGGATGGCTTTTACTCCCACCTCTGACTCTCGACTTGTAATATAGCATGTGGAGACTTGATCAGTGACTAAATTAAATGGGTTTTGGGGTAGAAGGGGGACTTGAGCGCAGAAAGAATAGATGATTTCATTTTGGTCTGGGAATTCCAGTTATGTGTCCTTATGATGGAGAATTAAAACTCATCATTTGGAAAAAGAAGCTTTTTTTTTCCCCTGAAGAGTGTATTAAAACAGCTAATGCCTTTTAAAATTTGGAGGCCATTTGTAAAGTATGAAGCTCAGTGGTCAGGTGAGGGCTGTTTTCGATTCACAAACACATACCTTCCCTTTTCTCATCACCAGCGTTCATGGAGGGTTCCTGGTTCATTCTTCTCAGCAGGAGAATGTTTAAACTGATAGTCTCCCTCAGTATGCAGGAAAGCACTAGGCTGCACATGTATGAAGTCTCTTGCTTTAATCATCATGAAGTATGTTTGCTGCCTCCACGCACTGCTCCTCAGGGCACACACAGGCCTGCTTCACACTGCTGTTTGCATACTAACGCCCCTTTCACCTACGCTTGCATCTGGCATCTCAGGGATTTTTTTGCTTTGGGTTTTTGGAGCATTTGCTTAGTGTCTTATTTGCAACTGTTGTGTAATGTTCTTCTGCACTGCTTCACAATTGTTGATTTTCATTCCAACGATGACTATATTCAGTGAAATAGATGTAATTTTTTGTGTATATTTTGCTGAAAGCTTTGGAATTCTTAACTAAGAGAGGTGCTATATAAATGTAAATTGTCCTTATTAATGACTATAGCGAAAGCATTAGCATGATCAGTGTATTCTGTGAATGTTAAGTTAAAGAGAGTGAAAAAAAAAAGCTGGCAAAATCACACATTTCTTTGTAAATCAAGCATTTTTCTGTTTATTTCTAATTAGCCACAATTTTCTGTAATGCAAATGGCATCCCAAAGGATGGTGCAGCCTGCACAGCCACCTTCTGCAGCTGGGGAACTCACAGGGTCTTTGCCTTAGACGCTGTACATTTCCCCAGCCTGCGGCAGAAGCTGGTGACCTGTGGCCCGTATGTGCCTGAAACAAGTAGTAAGTCACATCTCTCCGGGTTTGATCATCAAGGCTGTACCTTGACAGTGCTAAGTTGCACCCTGGCAGAGCCGATGTGTCAGACCAAAGCCAAAAGAGCATATGCACAACGCTATTATCACTTAAATGTCAGGCATGTCACATGGTGCAACCCTTTCTCACGTTTCAAATAAGCAATTTCCTCTTTTTTCCTTCCTTGAACATGGTGCTGTCAAGTATATCCAAACACCCCGAGCACATCTCCAGAAAGGTTCTAGAGACTTTGCTCAACTTATTTCCTCAGCCCGAAACTATGAAACATTTAAGGTCTGATGCCAAACTCATTGCCAAGTATAATTCTTCATTTATTTGTGTGTCTTATCTTGGGGAATTTCAAAGTGCTGGTCTGACAAAAATGGATACAGCTTTCCTTTGTTTAGTGAGAATAGATTCAGAGCTGTATCTTGTTGCAGATATAAAAAAATACTAATAAAAACCCAAACACTGTTTTATTACATAGGAGTAGAGTCCAAAGCCCCAGTCTGATTCAGCTTTCCATTTTTGGAGATGCTATGTTGGGACCCACTATGCAAGATCTTATACTCTGAAAAGTTAATTAATTAATTGAAAAATGGGTCTTCGTTATTTCAGGGTGAAAGTTTCCTTTATGAAAACTTCCACTCTTCCAGGCTGTTCTGTCTAGCAGCATGCAAAGTTGGAAATGGGGAAGTGAAACCCATACCTCTGCACGACCCTAACTCTGCCCCTGGTATCCTACTCTCGTTGCTGGCCAGAGTCATGAGAGTGAGGGTCAAGTCATTGAGCAATCCACCTCTCCCAGGAAAGGATCAAAGGAAGAAATTGCTGTGTGTGTCCTGACAAACCAAATGACAGATGTAAGCTATATGTAAGCCTGAGAGGAGAATAAGAAGGGTCTGAAGCTTTGATATTTAGCAAAGGGAACTTTGTAAATTAAAAAGCAGGCTAAATGCTTGTCTGTTGGGCAGGTATAGGTCGTTTCTATCCTGCACAATTCAAGGCCATAGGAATTCAGAGCTGTACGGAGAAGGCTTTGCTCAAAAAGGGCAAGTTAGGATTGCCCAGGTATGTTACTTAGCCCTATATGTCTCCTAAGCCAGAAAATGAAATGTTCTTGTTCTCAGTTCTAAGTACCGTGGGCATTGCTCATTGTGCATCCATTTACAACACCTCTTGTCACTGACTACCAAAAGAGCAATCCACTTCTGTAAAAGTAGAGGGTCCTTTACTCAGGAGTGATTATTTTCTAAGATGAATATCGTGGAGGCAAGATAGAAAATGAATGAGGTTGTGTAATATCTACATACTTTGCCTTGTGTTACAGTGGAAAGGGAATGATGGTCATGCATTGGAATATTTTGGTTTACAAGGTGACAAGTACAAGCAAAGCATTTACTCTCCCTTACCATACAGCCTCTTATGCTTGGTGTCCTGAAATCGTCTATGC